GAGTTTTCCTTCGGAGATATTTTTACAGACTTGGGGGATCTAACCGGGGATTTTTCTAAAGGCATGGCTAGGGAAAATCTCACGCAGATGGCGAGAAAGAGAAATACCGAGCGAATGGCCGCCCGAAAAAAGGTGGAGGCCGCTCGTTCTGAGCCTGCCCGATTGATTCTTTACAACCCATTACTGACGAGGAAACGACTCAAGTTGTTGTGGATGAGACGGAGAAGGAGGCCGAACAGCAGATTATGGAAGAATGACTAGTTCCAAAAGAGCGGGGCGAAAAACGGAACGCCGAGGGAGACGTTGGCTCGGAGGATAGCCCTACTGGCAAACGGCCTCGTTTAGAGGAGTCTGATGTCGTGTTTCCTTTTGTTGTTCAACCAAAGATCAAAAACACGCCAATCTCCGCTGATGCATCCGCCATGAGGGATCCAGCCGTAGCGTTGAGTTTGGCCGCCTCAGTTTCACTACTGGCTGACAAGGCCACCTTTCAAGAGGAGCCGAATTTGGCGGCTACAGCGTTCGCTGCCCAGTTGGCCCTTCTAGTATGTACGATTTTCACTTTTTTACTCGTTTGGTTTGGTTTGCATGTGATATTCCTTGGTGTGATGATCCCAATCTGTTTTGAAGACGGTTGGAAGGATAGCCGAACTAGGCCGCCGTCAGCATGATGCCATTGAAAGAATTGGCTTCTTAAAGTCTGAAACTGAAGGTGACAGGAGCAGGGTCGAATTCGAGGCGATGAGAGCCGCAATGGAAAATGCTCGAGCCGAAGCAGAAAAGAAGAGGGCTCAGACTGCTGACCAGCTCAGATCCAAAGGTGAGGATAGGGCGAATGCGAGCGAGGAATCACTCGAGTTAGCCAAGGAGGCGCTTGACAAGGCAGAGGCCGAGTTAAAGGAGTTGAAGGCGGCCAAGGAAAAAGCCAAATCTGAAGTTTCTACGGCGCTTGAGGTTGGAAGGAGCGCCACCTTCAAGGAATATGTAGACGAGGTCCCCGAATTCGAGAATCGGGGATTCAAACATGGGTGGCTCAAAGCCCTTACTGCCGTTGGAGTTACATTGGCCGTGCCAATTCCATATGAGCAAGTGGACGTTGAGCCGCTTGAGTCTGATCCCGAGGATTGATCTAGGAGACATTCTACTTTTATTAAGTATATTCAATTTCAATTTCAATGTACGTTTTTTAGTTTTCATATGTAAAATGTCCGCTACCAGCGCCCAGTTTATGAATGAAAATTTTATATGCTCTTAAATTATTTCTCGTATTGTTTGTTGTATGAGTGTGTAGTTAGGAGAATCAGCAGTTAGAACCAAATGTCAACTTTGCGTGAGATGGCAGACTTAACAGCCAATTAAAATTAGGGATCTGATCTAACCATAAATAGAATAAATTCATGACTACTGTTCAGACAAATCGATTCGTGGAATGGCTGGGGTACTCGAGCCGTATTTATTGACTAATTTGCCCTTGCCCAGCTGGTTCATGAACGTAGAACGCCGAGATCTGACTTAATCATAAATAGAATAAATTCATTACTATTCAGACAAATCGATTCATGGAACGGCTGGGGCACTCAAGCCGTATAGATTGATTAATCTGCCCTTGCCCCAACTTGTTCATAAACGTAGAACGCCGGTTATCGCGTAATGAATCCTGTACGGAATAACCGATGCGTGGAACGGCTGGGGCACTCGAGCCGTATAGATTGATTAATCTGCCCTTGGCGCTTCAATATTAATGAGACAACCTCAGAGATGCTGCCCTTGTAGGGAATAAATAGGCGTGTACTTCATGAACGAGGGTTCTACTTATGCGCTCAGTGAGCATCTCAGTCCCGTTCTTTGAGGAAGATTAGACAGGTGCGAATGTCAAATAAGCTTTTCTTCAACAGCAAAGGAGAAAGGAAGACGCTAGCTGAGCTGGGAGGTTCCATGAATCGAAGCAGTGAACCCTTACGAACAGGCGATAGGACTTCGAGGGATCGAGAGAGAGGCCCATCTCCTCCTCGTCGAAGTAGATCGCCTAGGAGGGACAATCAGCCACAGCGTAAGTCTCCTTAGTCCCATCCTGGAAGGGAATCCGATGTGACTCCTTGTCCATTGAGTTTTGCGGTCTTCATGGGTAATAGACCAATGATGGAGGCAGATTCGATCATTCGAGATCCGAACGTGGCAGTCGAGTTTGGTTGACAAATTTTTCCACCCGAAGTTCAGCAGTCGATGGTAGGTCGATCGGACTTCGAAATGTTTCGTGAAGGCGTTCATGGGGCGATGAGGGGACTGTATATGGCTTATGAGATTGGCATGCGTCTCCGCGCCGCTCGCCGCGACATAGAACAGAGAGATGAAAGAATTCGAAAATTAGAAGCTCGCGCCAAGAAGGCAGAGCGTGAGCTAAGGAAAATCAAGCCTGCCGGGACCCAATCAACCGGCCAACCCAACCCGGTTGTCGATGAAAGGGTCACTCAAAGGCTGATTAGTGATGCGATCGCCGATTGTAATACGGCTAGCATGTTCGCGATTGAGACTGCGAGAGGCGTGGCCTATGAAAAAGGCTTCCATGACGGCCGACTGGTCGGAATTCAGAAGACCAAAGAGAAACTCGCTAAGGAAGTTTGCCGATGTGAAAATCATGGCTTTAAGCATGGTTGGATCAAGGCATCTCAAGCCACGGAAGCTCTCCGAGCGTCGGGAATTGATTCGGCGCTGCCACTCTACCAACGTAATCATTTTTCCTTTTCCGCGTTTGAAGTCGAGAAGAGTGAGGATGAGGGCGAAGTCGAATAAAAATACTATGTAATTGTGTAGTTATTGCCTGATTGAATAAATCGTCCTATTTTAAATGTTTCATTGTAACCTGCATTTGGCACACTCTCGTTTGAATACATTTTCGTTGTATAAACATTGTCCGGCCCAAGTTAAGTAGGCATTTAATTCCGAACGGTTATATGCCGGCTTATTATGAGCATTCTTGGTTAAATGTCATTCATTTCACGCACGATCAATCCCCTGATTAGACTTTGAATTCGGAGGCTTAATCGACCCAAAGGTGTCACGCTCCAAGGGTTCCGAATCTGAAAACTATCAGCCCGTCTATAATTGCCATAATTAGTCCATTTTAACTCCAAAAAGCCAGAAATTAGTATATGGAGCGGCCATGGCCAATATCTACCGGCGTCCGTCTTTTGGGGTTCAGTATTAATGAAATCGCCTCGGGGTCACCGCAGGGATTAGAAATAAATTACCTCGGACTTTTCGCCCCAGTAATTTCACTTATTGTGTTCAGACTCGCTTTAAACCAACTTTGTTGCTTGGGGTCAGACAAATGTGAATTTTCTTCATCTGCAAAAGAGAGGCTCGAACTTTGGTTGAGTTTTATACTGCAATGAATTGCAGCAGAGAACCCACCCGTGTGAAAGGTGGGGTGTTCAAAGAACAGGAAAAACGTCAGCCTCCAGGTCGTCGAAGCTAATCACCCCGAAGGAAGGATGAGGCCAACGTAGCGTTACGACTGTTGAATTTTACTGTGTTCATGGGGAATTCCTTTCTTGTCCTGGATCTTGGCCTTAACATTGTCAATGGTGTCAAGGCTCTCTACCTTGATGGTGGTTGTCTCGCCGGTGTGAACATTGTGGATTCAAGCGCGGTCAGATCGAAGCGTTTCAAGCTACAGACGCTCTCCGAGCAGTGGGCATTGATTCAACACTGCCGCTGTACCAACACGACCACTTCCCCTCTTTCGCCTTCCAAGCTTGAGAAGGGTGAGGATGAAGGCGACGTCGTATGAAAACAGATATTGTAATGCTCGAACGTGGATTGCGTTTTTGTAATTACTGTTTTAATCGAATAAAATATTTTATTTTAAAAGTCTGTATTTCATTGTGAATTTTTGTTAAGTATCTTATTTCGAGTGTTGGCACGTTTTGTTTTGTTCATGAGGTTGTGCCAGCTCAAATTATATATCCCTGCTTTGAAGTGAACCCGGAGGGCGCTCTGGTTTGGAGGCTTTATTGGCCCAATGACGTCATGCGCCGAGAGGGCTCCGAATGCGGAGACCAATCATGAATCCACGTGGGGTGCTCCGAATCCGGAGACTTAATTGGCCCAGCGACGTCATGCGCCGAGGCGGCTCCGTATCCGGAGACTTAATCGGCCTAGCGACGTCATTCGCCGAGGAGGCTCCGAATCCGGATATTTTTGGCCAATCGTGATATCCACAAAGGGCGCTCCGAATCCGGAGGCTTTATCGGCCCAACGATGTTATGTGCCAAAGGGGCTCTGAATCCGGAGACTTTTTGGCCAATCATGATATCCACGAAGGGCACTTTGAGTCCGGAGGCTTTATCGGCCCAACAACGTCATGCGCCGAGGGGGCTCTGAATCCGGAGCCTTTTTGGCCAATCATGATATCCACGAGGAGGCTCCGAATCTGGAGACTTTTTGGCCAATCGTGATATCCACGAAGGGCGCTCCGAATCCGGAGGCTTTATCGGCCCAACGACGTCATGCGCCGAGGGCGCTCCGAATCCGGAGACTTTTTGGCCAATCGTGATATCCACGAAGGGTGCTCCGAATCCAGAGGCTTTATCGGCCCAACGACGTCATGCGCCGAGGGGGCTCCAAATCCGGAGACTTTTTGGCCAGTCGTGATATCCACGAAGGGCGCTCCGAATTCGGAGACTTTTTGTCGGAGCACCTTTCGGCTAGATTTCGCAATGGGTGGGACTACAATTGTTCAACAAGAATCCTTGCATTACAAAGGTGGAATGTGTACAAGGCAAATCTTTTAGAGTTAAGATCATTCCCCACAAGTCGGGTTTAATGACAGAATTTTTGAGTTCCAAGACCGCGACGTATTTCTGAGCCGATAAGGAATCCTTCCGATAATGGTCGTCTCAGTTATGACCTAATTGAGGATCAACTCTCCCGGTGTGTAGCGGCACAGCTGAACGCGTTGATTATATGACTTGGCAAGTTGTTGCTGGTGTCGCCTAGGATTATTGTGGCTTTTCGCTATGGAGTTGTCCGACATCGTTGAGGATGTTTCGATTTGGCACTTTGGAGGAGTTGGCCTGCGACTTCGCAGGCGTCTTTCCAGAAAGGAGATAACATGTTTGTGTGGATTGCCGTGAACCATGGATTTGCTCAATGCCGTGTACGGTCGGGAAATGCAGCAGCTGATGGTAGGTGCTTGGCACGTCTTGAATAGCATGCAACCAAGTTCGCCCCATGATAAGATTATATGGCGATGAGAGCTTGATGACCAAGAACTCTACATCTATTGTTTGAGAGCCTGCTCGAACGGGCAGTGAGATTTTCCCCAACGGGTACTCTAGATTTGCGTTGAAGCCGAACAAAGGATGAGGAACTGGAGACAGGTCTGATTCGTTGAAGTCGAGTTTGATAAAGGTTTCGTAATACATAACTTCCGAAGTGCTCCCTTGGTCTATGAGGACGTGCTCAACGATAGATCGACTCACGTGTAGCTCAATGACCAATGGGTCACTATGGGGGAGTGTTACGCCGATAAGATCGGAATCGTCGAAAACAATACTCGGAGCTTCGTGGGGCTGCTTCGATGGTGTACGTTGCTTCTGGGGGGCTGACTGAATTGCGTGTGTGGCAAGTGGCGTTGGAAGGCCGTATATCATATGAATGATGCCGAGCGGAGGTGAATCCTGTCGAATGGCAACTGTTTTGATTGCGTTTTTTTGGACATGTTGCTGGAGTCGACCATCTTGGGCCAATTCCTCAAGGTGGTCTTTCAGAGCATAACAGTTGTCCGTATCATGACCGTGATCTTTGTGATATTCACACCGCTTGTCCCGTCGTCTCGTGTCGGGAGGTCCCACCATTTTGGACGGCCATTTGAAGAACGGAAGATGTTGGATTTGGGACATAACCGAGCTGATTGGCTCTGATAGCTCCGTATATTTCTTGTCAGCGCGCTTTGTGCGCCTATTATCAACTTGCAATTGCTCATTTGTTCGGTGTGAGCATTGTTCGCTTGATCGGCAAGAATCCTGTTTCTTGTCTCGTTTAGCCCGCTGTTGTGGTTCAGGGCTCTGAGGAGGTACAGAACTTATTGGCTGAGCAATTTCAGGGGGGGTCATTTTTATTGCAATGTGTCCGGCTTTAACCCGCAAGGCGTCATCTTCCACTTTGCAGTATTCCTCTGCTTTCTTCATCAACCCCCAGACTGTTTTGGGGGTCTTCTGGTCAAGGAACTGCGGAGGGCGCTATCTGGGTGTAATCCCATTTTGAAGGCGGTGATGGCCATGGAATCGTTGCAAGCATCATCAACAAGATTAAAGCACTCCCAATATCGTGCCGAATATGCTCTTAGTGTTTCTCCTGGCAGGATTTGCATTGCCCAGAGAGAGTCGGCCTGTTTCGGCTGAACCTCGTTGGTGATGAATCTGGCCCTAAAGGGCTTCTATAGTTGGTGGAAGGTTTTGATCGAAGCCGATTCTAGTTTATAATACCACCTGACAGCCAATGGTCCTAAACTGCTGGGAAATATTTGGCACATGAGGGCCTCGTCGTCTGCATGCAATGTCATGGCTTGCTTGTAGTGGCGGATGTGATTAGTGGGGTCTGACTTTCTATCATAGAGAGTGAATGACAGGGCTTTAAACTTTTTGGGAAAGATTGCCCTTGCGATCCGTCGCATAAAGGGATCATGCAGGTCCTCGTCATCTGAGTCGTTTCTTCTGCGCTTATGCCTTATACGTGGGCCCTCTTCAGAGGAGCTGGAAGTTGCAGGTCGTCCTTTCTTTTTGGGCTCTGGAGATAGTGAGTCGGAGTTGCTATCAGTGTCTTGTTGTCGGGCTCAAGATCGTCGACCAGCTGCTTTCAGAGGTCATTCCAGATCTTGGCACACGGCTTGTTTGGACTTTGCCACCTCCAGGGCCAAATCCTAACGGAAACGCTCGTTCTCAGGGATCATGTTCTCCAACCGCTGCTCGTTTTGCTTTGCTTGTTCCATGATCGCTTGCATTGCCTCATGCTCTGGGGTCGAAGGTGAGGCGAAGTTCAAAGCGTGTCGTGCCGGGATATTCTCCGGTCCATGCATGTTTGTTGGAGTAAAATCGTCTAACTGCATGGTTTCATCAATGGCTATTGGAGGGTCCTCCATTACACCTGCCATGGATGTGGTTGAGTATTCCCACAGACGGCGCCAATTGTGAACAAGTGGTTTCGGGGATACTCTTCTGATCCTGGGGGACGCTTTTGATCCTCTTCTAGTCACCTGAAAAAGAATGAACACTTCGATCGAGGGTGCTGGAATTAGCACTCCGACGGGAAAGTCAGTCTCACACTCAAGATTGCTTGTATTCTAAGTTAAGCACAATAATTTTCACATACCTTTCTCAGTCTGCTATTTCTCTATTTATACTCGTTCCTTGTGCCTTGGGGCAAGGCCCACTTTTCACTCATTATCCTTCTATTCCCTCAGCTCCATAGTTTAATAACTATTCAACCTATCTATCCATTTTATTCAACATCCTGAACGTGCCGGATAGAGCCAAATAGTATCTGGCTGGAATATGCTTCTAATTCTTTTTAATATTCGGCTCCTACAATAGCAATTCCGGTTTTGACTGGACCATTGTTGTAATTTGGGTACGGGTTTCTTGGTTTTGTACTGTTGAGTATGTCTTGCTTATCTTATTTTCCCTTAAACTTGGCTTTAGGATTGTTGTGGTTGTGTTTGGAACAGGTTGGTTGTTTGTTTTTCTAACTCTTCTTGCCTAGAATTTTGCTCTTCCGTTCGAGCGGGCTTTGCAAACTCTCAGTACTTTTGCAGGTCCGCAGAAATATTGGGAGAGTGTATTCTATGCTCGAGCGAATGTGCACTCGAGCGATGTTGGACGTGTGTTGCAGCTTGCTTTTTGTGCTCCTTTTAGATACGATAGCCATATAATTCGGACTCTTGTGGTTCTAAATCTAATCTCACAAGTGCAATGTGAAATAGATAAACACAAAAGAGTTCAAATCTGGCAAATCTTTTGGAAAATTGATTTTGAATCAAATTCCCAAAAATGGACTGCTTTGCCAGATTACAGAGTCGCCACCTAAATATTTTTGAAAAATTTAGGAAACCCATTACTCGTGCCAAAGGCCACGTGTCCGTCATCACCAAGATTGTCTCAGCTCGGGAACTTAGGTATGAGAGGGGAATGTCATGAATTGAGCACCACACTCGCTCGATCAAGGATTGACCTCTACTAATCATGATATGATTCTTATTTACATTATATGCTCTTGTTATGGTTATTAGACTGACTTTACTATGTGTTGCACACAAGTATAGACTAATTTTCAAAAATTGGAACACTTTAATTTCATATTTGTTTTGAAAAGTGTTTGAATATGTATCACTTGAAAAAGTAGTATCATATATACATTACTCAAATTATTCCAATTCAACCAATTAGCCTTCATCCGCAGGCATTCAAACAGATATATCATTTAAGCTCTTAGCCTCATGGTATTCATGCGTATCATGGCGACAATCACACGCATACAGTATGCTAAAGCAATAAATGCTTACCTCAATTCCCGAGGCGAGCCAAAAGAGAAACTAGTTAGAAAAATGTATGGTCCTAACTAATGCAAAATATGCCTAATACAACACACACAAGATGTAATTAATAGGCTCGACTACTAATATGGCATTTGAAGCAACTTGATAGCATGCGGTTTCAACATGTTTTCAACGAAGTATGCAAACGACAATGCTTAGTTACAATGATGAGCCAAACCTCATGCATGCAAAACAAATGGATGCAAACATGGGAAATGCTAAATAAAATATGATGTTGTAAGCTACCCAGCATAAGCGAGTAAATAAAAGGAAGAAAGACGTGGGGTTTGAAGACATACACATTATTATGCTTTTTTCCCTCACACAGGAGGGTCCGAATAAATGGACTAGCTAATTAATTACCTAATTAACTAACTATTACAGTACCCAAAATAAATTAGCTACACTAAGTAATTAACTAATTTACTAAATATTACAGCACTACAAATTAACTAACTATTCTAGCTAATTAATTAAATACAACACATAGCCAATTATTCTAATTAAACTAACTAAATAGTTACAAGCTCGCTACTTTAAGTAGAACATACTACTATTACAACATCATTTTAACGGATCTCGAGAATCAAGGGATGGCTCATGCATGGATGTGGATTTCTACCCGATAATGCTCTTCGTTTTGCTACCGAAATGCCTCTGTTGCACAGTTAGAAAATTGCACTATTTTTCCACCTCAACCTCTGCTTTACTCTGCTAGAAAAGGGATACTGCCCTGAAAAAAATGGCCAGCAACCCAGAAGTAGTGGCCGGCAGACCACTAATGTTGGTTCTTTCCTGCTACAACAGAGCACAAACAGAGCATTCTCAAGGGAGTCCACCCTGCCTCTCCTTAACATCAAACAACTCAAAGGAGTGGTAGGCTCGATTCGCAAGCCATCAATCGGTGAAAATTCATTACCTAATGACTTATGAACCAAGGGATACAATTTCAATAAATGCACAATGAAAGACTCATGAACCTCCTCCCTATCATGAGATTGATTAAGGGAAGCGGTTAACATTGACTTTTGAACCGTTTACATCATTAACAAGTATGAAACAACTCAAGACTCAGTGGGTTCAATTAACATCCAATTGAACCCCAAACCTCTTTATTATCTTGCTCCATTTTAAACCATTGATTACCTCTTTTAATTACCTTTTCATTCCTTAGTCATGTTAGTCCAAAATGAGCATTAAGTCCACTAAAAGAGGGAAGTGTCAAACCAAGTGTTGTTTTAGGCATGAGAGGGAGATCATGCCATTCGTAATGAACCCCCAAAGGGATTAAACTATTATGCACAATGTCACCCCTTAAGCTTAAACAACACTCCTTTTGAAACAACTTTCAAAACAAAGAGAAAAAGCCAAGAAATAAAGGAGGTTGCAGAGATGATTAGAGGTGATTACAAGTATGGAAAGCTTGAGATAAATGCTATCAACTCAAATAGGTTGATGTCTAATGCCTAAAACACCAAACCTATGAGGACTATTACACTACAAGCATACTATACAAAGCTTAAATGAAATAAACACCTCAAAACAGTCCTAAATTAGACTAAGATAGTGTTGGACTTGATGTAAAAAAAGCTAAAAGAGTAAGCTAAAATAATGGAGAATATAAGCTAGTAAACAAGCATAAGGAGGGAAGGCTAACCTCTCCATTTTTCGGACTTCAAAACAACATTTTTAGCCTCTAAAAAACTGTAAAATTTAGTGGTAAAAAGCTCAAAAAGGTTGAGAAAAGAATGGGAAACACAAGGGCAACAGCTCAGAGAACAAGGTTCAAAGACAGGTGGTTAACCCCTCTAACTTTAATAGCCTTAAACCACAAGCTTCAGCCCATAAAAACCAGGTGAAAAATAGCCTCAAAATAGTAAGAAAAGATGGAAGAGAAGTAGTGCAGAGATGCCCAAAATTATACCTCCTGAAGCAAGGCAACTCTTTTGTTAACAAATCCATAAGTTCTCACTCTCAAGGGCTGAAATTTGGACTCAATAATCTCAGCAATGAGAGCTCCAATATTGGTTAAGGAAGTGTAAAGAGAGAGTGTGTAGGTTGCAAGATAGAGAGAGAGGGAGAGAGAGAGAGAGAGAGAGATTTTCAAGAATTTGAGTTTTTGGAATTTTTTGTAACCTAAAAACATGGTGGAAGGCCTTACATGATGGAAGGCCTTGTATTTATAGAAAAACAGCCTCTCAAGTCAGAAATATCTGTATAGGAATAGCTGGAGCTTGTCGGGGACAGCTGGCAACAAATATTTGT